GACCCTCGGCGGGCCCAGGGGCGGGAGCTTGCCGGGCAGTTGGAGAGGGAGGGGTCACCGCGGAAACTGGTCCGCGTGCCGCCCCCAGCCCCGCCCCGTCCCGCCCCGAAGTACCGCTCCTCCCTCGGCGCGGTGTCTCCGGTTTCAGCGGGCTCCGCGGGGCTACGCTGCCCTGCGGCGGGACCAGGCGAGGAGGGAGCCCAGCGCGAGGCTGGGAGTCCCACTGGCTCCAGATCAAATCCTGGCCGCCACCTGCTAGCTCGGCCCGCCTAGTCCACTCCTCTGCGCCTCCGTGCCCGCCTCCGGAGAAGGGAAATAAAGGCATGTGCCGTCTCCGGGCTCCTTGGAAAGTCAAACAGGATCTAACTTCCGTTAAAGCGTCTGCAGATGCAGACTTTACATCTACTTGCAGCGGTTCTCAACCTGTGGGTCGCCACCCCTTTGAGAGGTCAAACGACCCTTTCACAGGGGTCGCCTAAGACCATCGGAAAACACAGATATAATTACATATTGTTTTTGTGATTAATCACTATGCTTTAATTATGTTCAATTTGTAACAATGAAATTGGGGGTCACCACAACATGAGGAACTGTATTAAAGGGTCGCGGCATTAGGAAGGTTGAGAACCACTGACTTAGAGCTTTAGAGGCCTACAAAGGCCACCTCCTCAGGAAGCCCTCCCTGATTCAGGGCCTCGAGGAATCCCTCCGGCGGGGGGGCCTCCTAGAACGAGAACACCGCTTTAGAGCTTTTCCATCCCTTTGGGCCCGAGCACCTTCTGTCTGCTCGGTGACTCATATATTTATGTAAACCCTCCTCCCTCTGACACTCACCCGCGCCTGATAGTCTGCTGTCAGTAGTTTTATTTCTGCATCTCACACAGCTCCTGGAAATAGTACCTGCATACTATTTTTAGAAGTCCAATAAATAGTTGCATGATCACCAGGAAGTGTGGTTTCACCAACGTGGACACGCCTGAAGTATGGTGAGTTTTTAATGATTGAGAGAGAGATAAGGAGAGGGAGAGAGAGAGAGAGAGAGAGAGAGAGAGAGAGAGAGAGAGAGAGAAGAGGGGAGGGGAGAGAGGAGAGGGAAAGGGAGAGGGAGAGAGAGAGAAGAGGAACACCGATGGGTTGTCTCCCACACGTACCCTGACTCAGGATCAAACCCACCACCCTGGCGCATCTGGAGGAGGCTCCAACTAACTGAGCTACTGGCCCAGGGCCCTCTGAACAGCTGTATTTGTGAAGTGTGGGCAGGGCCTAGGTGGCCTTGAATGTGGGCTTTTTATTAATCCCTGTTCCCCTCCCACATCCTGTCACTCTTTGACATCATCCTCAGGGACCCACGGGCTTCTGTCTGGTAAGACACACACTGCACACCCTTGCCATCTCCCCTGTAGGTGGACACCCACCTGCCGTCCACATGTGGCTTAGCAACTGATGTGGTAGCTGACACACATGCGTACACATGCCAGTCGGTGCAATGGGAGGAATCCAGGCTTTTGAGTCTTGGCTCCATCACTCCCTGTGTGGCCCTGGGCAAGTGCCTGCACTTTTCTGAGCCTCAGACTCCGAACCTGTCAAATGAGGATTCCAAGATCTGCTGCAGAGGGTCATCCAGATGTGCCAGGACAGGGCACACAAAGCCCTCAGAACATGGTGGCTCCCTGCTTCCCTGCCCCTCTGGTCCGCTCGTGGGATCGGCATCTGGAATGCTGTGTGTCATTTCTCATCTTCCTGAGGGTGGGGGAAGTCAAGCTCCAGGCCCTGGGAAAGGAGAGTCCTGACAGGGGGTCTGGGGGTGAGTGTCTAGCCCAGGAGCAGCTCCAGAGGAAGCAGTGAGAGCCCCGCGGGTCAGAGGGCACGGGACTGTTTACCAAACGGGCCGGAGGATGATTCATTTCCGCTGCTCAGATGAAAAAAGGGACAGAAATAAATCTCCCAGGAGAAAGATGGGAAAGGCATTCTAAGGTATGAAGGGTGGGGGAGGAGGGACGTAGGGGGCAATGAGGGGACAGGCCGAGGACACCACTGCTCAGCTACTAAACACCAGGGCAAAACTGAGGCTGGCGGGGGTTCCTGGACACCCCAGCCCTCCAGGGTCCGTGTCCCACTGAGCTGCCCTCTTCTTGGACCTTGAGTCTCACAGCCCCCTCCCCGGATGCCAACCCCTGGGAAAATGGAGCATCTCCCTCAGGCCACGGAGCCAGAGATGGAGAGGCGCCTTTCGTTTCCCCCTTTCCAATCCTTAATTCCAGGCCTTACGGTGGAATTTCAGGCATCCTCAGAGTAAAGCAGGAAAAGGTACTACTGTTAGGTTCTTTCTTTCCTTCTTTCTTATTCTGTGTTTTACAGAGTTTCACACCATTTATTTTTATTATTTTTTTTTACATTTTCATTGATTTCAGAGAGGAATGGAGAGGGAGAGAGAGATAGAAACATCAATGATGAGAGGGAATCATTGGTCAGCTGCCTCCTGCACGGCCCCCACCACTGGGGATCAAGCCCGCAACCCAGGCATGTGCCCTTGACCAAATTTTGAACCTGGGACCCTTCAGTCCGCAGGCTGACGCTCTATCCACTGAGCCAAACCAGCCAGGGCAGAGTTTCACACCATTTAATTACCAGTTCCAGGAGAGCCAGCTGTGTGAGAACAGCATGGTGTCCTCAGAGGAGTTAAATTACCGACATCATAGAGCAAATAAGGGCTGGACCGGGGACCTACATCCAGAACTCAATGTGGCCTCCGTCGGCCCCAGGTTATGTCCCCAAACTCCACAGGACAAGCCTGCTCTCCCTTCAGTCCTCCCATTCCTGGATTTATTGTTTTTTGGTATTATTTCTTTTATTTTTTTAAATTGATTTTGAGAGAGAGAGAGAGAGAGAGAGAGAGAAACATCAATTTGTTGTTCCACTTATTTATGCATTCATTGGTTGCCTCTTGTATATGCTCTGACTGGGTATCGAACCTCCAACCTTGGTATATCAGGCACCCAGCCAGAACTGGCTTTTTTTTTTTTTTTTTTCATTTTAAAAAGTATTTTGGTAAAATTTCTATAACATAAAATTGGCCACTTTTAAGTGTACAATCCAGTGGCATTAATTACATTCACAATTTTGTGCAACCATCACCACTATTTCCAAACATTTATATATATGTTTTATTCCAAACATATATATATTTAATTGATTTCAGAGAGGAAGGGAGAGGGAGAGAGAGAAACATCAATGATGAGAGAATCATTGATTGGCAGCCTCCTGCATGCCCTACACTGAGTATCGAGCCCACAACCTGGGCATGTACCCTGACCGGCAATCGAACTGTGACCTCCTAGTTCATAGGTCAACGCTCAACCACGGAGCCACGCCAGCCAGGCCCGAAACTTTTTTTTATCACCACAAAGAGAAACTCTGTAACCTACTTATGAGGACATGATCACAGCTGAGCTCAGCCCTTGCCGGGTAGCTCAGTGGGATAGAGCATCATCCCAACATGCCAGGGTTGTGGGTTAAATCCCCAGTCAGGGCACATACAAGAAACAACCTTGACTGCATCAATAAGTGGAGCAACAAGCTGATGTTTCTCTCTCTTGCGCTCTCTCTCTCTAAAAATCAATCCATTAAAAAAAAAAGCTGAGCTCAGCCCTGTGTTCCGGAACCAGAAGCTGCTGCTGAGGGAAGAGCACTGAGCACTGGGCCAAAGGCTGTTGTGACTGGGATGGGGGCCAGGGCTTGAGGGGAGAGGTGGACAGAGGCAGCCTCGCTCCTGGGCTCAGTGCATTCGGCAGCTGCTGGGGTGAGGGGGCAGTGGCCCTGGGGACAGTGTCCTCTCTAAGTGAAGTTCCCAGGATTCCTCAGAGGACAAACTCC